ATACATGCAAAAATTTAAATTAATAAAGATAATCCCTATAGTAGTAATTATTCAAAAACACCAAAATTCATATCTTAAAAACTTCTCTAATTTCATGGTTACTTCATATGAATACTCTCCTTATCTAACATATTGAGTATACTTCTATTTTCAAATTCTATAACATACACATCCAATTTTTTTTTTAATCATGCATACATTATACTTACATACATACATACATACATACATACATACATACATACATATATATAAATTACATTTAATCATTTAATTGCTTCATAATTCTTTTATTGCACGTTACATCGAACACCTAATATACACCCCATAATTAAATCACAACACAACACTATACTTTATAAATTATCAACCATAACTCAAGAATCCAATCAATCTCTCAATAACATAGATAAATATCTTTACAATATTCGATTCAAATTCACAAATGAGCAACACCAAGACAATTTATTTCTTTTGAGATCCCACAAAGATATAGAAAAAAATACATACTCATATATCTCCTTTTACATTTTTCAAGTTAAATTCATAAAATAATAGCACCCCAACCAATTACATCTTTTAAAGAATTTAATGATATTTTAATAAATACACAATAAAAAAACTCCTTTCACAAGCATTTTAACAAATATTTTACTGACACTAACCCTCAAATTTCATGTCCAAGTTTTTCTATTTCAAACTCATCCTAATCACTTCTTTAACATCATTTAGTTCAAACAAAATTATTTTGACTCAAAAACTCTAACCATACTTATCATAATCATAGTTTCAATACATAAATTTCAGTTTAATTCCATTCCTTCCCTCACTAGCCACGGACAGCAGCAGAACTTAGGGAAAAAAAAAAACCAATTTTATTCATTCATTCAGACACTCTTTCTTGCACCAAATTATCAAGAAGAGTTCAAAAATTCCCACCTTAAGGACCAACAGTAACAAAGGAGGGAAAGAAGAAGAAGAAACTGATAGAACAGGGAGAGGAGTTCTCGTGTTTCCAGCTTCAACCAACGGCAGACTACTACTCTCTTTCTGAAATGCAGAAGCAGGCTAAAGGGAGTCAAAGACCAGATGCACTCAACCACAGCAATAATAGAAGAAGGAAAAGAGGATCACGAGCTGCACAGGGAATAAATCAGAGACAGGGTACGCACGAAAGGAAGATAATGAAATCACAGCACTAGACCAAACAGAGAAGAGCTCACGAACAACCCTACGAGCTCCACCGACCTGAACAGCGAGAACGGAGAAGCAACAAAGAAGACAAGTAGAGACAGGGAAGCGCGACAGACAACCTGGGCATCACACAGAGACGCCGAGTCTCCACTTTCACCGCTCGATCACCGGAAACTGGAGGGGAGAGATCAAGTGCAGTGGAGGGCGACAAAAGAAGTGAAGGAATTACAGTGGACTGGAGGAAATCAAAGCTCCCTGTCTCTCCGTGGTTTCTGGACTTCTCGGCAGAGAAAAGAAAAATATTAGGAGGGAAGAAAGCCACGCATTTAGCTCTCTCTCTCTCTGTTTTTTTTTTTTTTTTTTCTCTAGAAGGGCATTATTATAATTTTGTTAATAAGCTGAAGCAAAAGAAAAATAAGAAAAGTTTGCACTCTTGGCCTCATAAGATTCAAACCCATGACCCATTAGGTATGTAGCAATATAATTGCCACTAGACAAACTCTTCTTCTTGCTAATTTATTCCAAAATTAATATAAATATACTTAAATACAATATTAAGTATTTTAATTTTTAATTTTTTTACTTAAAATTTTTGGGTTATTACACATTCCTTGTCCATGATCTTTCTCAATCTAACAAAAATTGCTAAGAGAAATGATATTAGTGACTCATTCGTAGTGGAAGAATTAGTTTAATAAATAAATTAACTACTAACTCAATCAATCATGAGCAATATGCTTTCACATACATATCATTCCTCTAATTAAATTTAAGATAATAATTATAATTATATTAAGCTAATTGTAAGTAATTTATCTTAAACAAAAACTTGCCAATAAGTGAATTTTTTTAATTTATAAGTTCTAAATAATTTATAACATTTATTTTCATGATTTCTTTAGCCATTATATTTGAATATATATAATCCAAACAACATTAGGGTCCTTATATTTAAAATTAAAAAAATAAGTGATTTTTAAATACTTTAGAGATTTTATAAAAAATCATTTATTTTGTAGAGATTTAAAAAAAAAAGGAATTGTTTTATATTTGATTACAATCACAAAAGAAATACTTATTATAATAAGAAAAATATATATTTGAATATTAATAATACAGTCCTAATTATTTTATGCTTTTAACTTGAAAGAAAAAAACTTAAGAAAATTTGAAATGAAATTTGGGCAGTATAGCAGTATAAAATAAAACCTTTCAAGACATTTTGCCTCATTTCAATTACAACACCATCAACAACAACATCATATAGTATTTTAAGTTGAAGAGACACATGAGTAAGAATTTTAAGTAAGCTCAAAGTACTCATACACAATTCTAATGAATATAAAACTTCATACACTACTCAATTATCATTTAAAGAATCAAAAGATATAAAATTTCCAATCAAATAAGTTAAATATTATTCAAACAAAAAAAACAAAAAAAATGGGTAATAAATTCGGATAAAATAAAAACTATATATAACTCCCACCTAATCAAATATTAGTCTAACATATGTCTTAAACTTATCCATAACTTATATTTTATATGGGTTTTGATTAAAGATAATTTTTTTCTATGAGACATTTCATCATACACCTTGTGGGCAACACTAATAACACCAAATCAATATAATACAATCTAATAAATCGAAACCAAATTGAAAATCAAACATGCCTAATCAATTCTAACCAAAAAACAAACACAAAAATCTATTTAAATTGTTTCAGATAGCATTTAAGAGATTCAGAAAAAAAATGAACAAATAAGGAGAGAAGAGGCAAGAACTTACGGAGTTTGAAAAACATAGTCAATGAAGGAGAAGAGTAAACTCACCCAAGGTTGAGGATGATTGAAGAACATGAGTCCAAGAGAGAAAATTTGCTCGGTCGAGACAGAGAAACTAGAAGAACAGGGGAGACAAAGTGCGCACGAAGAAGATGGTCTAAAACTTTCTTGATCTGAAATGGGAGAGGTAGGCCATATTTTAAACGTATATTGAATGATTATACACTTAACTGTCTAATAAACATTTTATATATTGGACGATTATGTCCAATATCAATTTCAAAATAAAAAATTTAAAATTTAAAATTCAAATATTATATTGGACGGTTTTAAAGACAACCGTCCAATATATCACTGAATATTGGACAGTTACTCACAGAACCGTCTAATATTTATTACTGCATAAGCTTATTGGACAGTTCAGCATATAACTGTCTAATAAGCCTCATCATATATTATAGATTTATTCTAGTGGCGTTTGATGAGCACTAAGGACGAACGCATTGATATATGCAAATATTAATATATATATATATATATATATATTTTAAGATGGTGCAGTTCAAGCAGATTTTATAAAATCAGTTTCTTCTCAAATTAAAGCTGATCCAGTATATCTTTGTCAATAAAAAAATAATGCTGTTTTATGAAAATGGATACTCTTAGTTGACCCTTCTGGTATTACAATATTATCAAATGTTAGATTGAAATCGTTGGAATAAAAAAATCATGTTAATCATGCTACATTCATTTAAAATCTCACAATACAGTACATACTAAGGAGTGAAATCAAGACTCATAATTGTGGGGTGCCAAATATTTTCTAAAAGAATTATTATATACATGTACTAATGCACCCAAGAATTTTGTTAGATAACGAACTGAAAATTAAGATAGATAATTAAATTTTATAAAGAAAATAAATCTACATAGATAGAAAATTAATGGTAATTATAAAAGTAAGGTAGATAACTCTATAGCTTCTGCAGAACATACACTAAAAATTAAATATAATTAAATAAACTATATAATTTTTTGGTAGAAAAATATATATTTTACCTAAACAGGCTAAGCCTGCAGGATCGTTGGACCTAGCCTCTTTATAAATAGGGGGAACTATAGGTTGAAAAAGGCCTAACATATTATCATCTTGATATTTAATGATTTTTATATACTTTTACCACCTTAAATTAGGCTTTTTAGCAATTTTTTTATCTATTTTGAATAACTAGAATATATTTATGATTCTAGGGCTAAGAAATATTTTAAGGGAATTTTTAGTAATTATTGCATATTTTTCCAACATTTATTGATTTTTAATTTAATTTCCTAAAATACATGTGCTATTGATTTTTTTTTTTTTTGGGCTAAAGGACTTCTATTAAAAACAGCTTGAGACAGGGTGACATGAGATTAAATTGTACACGACTTGTATCAATTGATTAGCTAGAGGAAGATAAATGGTGCCTCCCACACAGCACACATACACATGTATATTATGGTGGGGACAAAGTTTAATTTAATTAATAATGAAATGGGGTAAAAATTTATTTAATAAATATATTTATATTTTAAAAGACCATAATACCCCCGGAATAAAAAAGACGTACAAGAAAGCATGGGAAAGTGTTCCTAATCTATCTATTGTTTGCTTCTTAATTCTTTAATAAGCACTACACATCCCCAATAATCATCTCACTTTGGGTTGAAAGTTTCAGTTTTTCTTCTTACACTTTTAATTTTAATTATTTCAATGTAATCAAACGAATCCCAAAAAGGAGTCAAAGTTGCGAAATACAGAAATAGGAAAGAGGCTGGGTTTCTAGCTATGTTTGTAGGTTAGTTTTGCAAAGAATTCACGTAAATAAATACGATATTAATAATGTATTTTGAAACAATATATTTGCAACATTCATAATATGTTTGTTCCATATTTATCACCATAACATATATCATACACCATCAAGTCTAACAATGATATATAATATGTTGTATGGGAGTTTCATGGAGAATGAACAAACTGAAAATCAATGATATATCTGAAAACAAGCTTATTTTTTGCATTATAACAACAAAGTCTATTGATAAACGTATTATGCTAATTTACCCTTCGATGAGAAAGCAGAAGTTCAACATTCAAAATGAAAGATTAACCCCAAAAAATATTCAAGATCATAGGTAGAATCATAAAATCGATTTCTACAAAAGGGTAAATTATCGAATTTCCGAGTGATTGAAGAGTAGAGAGAGCCACATCGAGAACCTGAAACTTGAAATTGCTTCGAAAGCCCATGAATCTTCATACTAGCCCATCATTGAACCACCAGAGAATCCTAAAATTGTGAATCATTTCTTTGACAATCGGTGGTCGGAGCTATCGTCGAAGCACACGAGAGTAATTAGCCACCTGAGTTAATTTAAAAAAACAATGATTTATTATTTTAATTATTATTATTGTTGTTGTTGTTATAATTATATGAATTAATAATAATAATATTATTATTATTATTAGTATTACTATCATTATTACACATTAAGATGTGGGTAGATGAGTTTAATTATATTATTTAAAAAAATCTCAGCCCTTAGATGAAGGGAAGAAGAGCTGAAGGTGAATTGAAGACGACAAGAGCGTGCTTGACTTCCAGCTTGTGTAGGATTGAAAACCTGATCAGGGATTTTCTCAAAAACAAAAACACAAAAAGAAACCCCCCACATGAGGCTTTTTATTTTTTAAAAAAGTAAAACCTACAGGTGGCATTTCCCTAGGGTATAGCCACCTCAACTTTTCATTTTTAAATTTAAGAAAACTAATACTTATATTAATAATAATTATTTATTTATTAATATATTTATGCTAACAATATTTATATTAAAATTTACACTAATAATTAAAAGGATAAATTAGTCCACTAACCAAAAAAATCTCTTGCCCAAAAAATATGGGCCAAAGTTTTGAAAGTTTGGGAGTATGATAGGTTTACATTAAATTTATAATTGAAAATTTGAAAAATTTACAAGAGGCTTATCATTGATATACACTGATATATCATTAATAAATATAATAAATTGACTATAATCTAAAATATAATAAATATGGGGTTGTTTGTTCATCCTATAATATGGGATATATTTGCAAAAGCCCTACTTAAAATAATATTTTAATAATCATTATTATATTCATTCATTTTATTATATTTATAATAGTAATAATTCTTAATTACATATAATTCAAATTTTCATTACTAATCAATAAAAAGTTATAACAATAATAAGAATAATAATTGTATTAATAAGTATAATAATAATTATAATTAAATAAAATTAGTTTTTATAATATTACCATAATTACTAGGTGCTCTTTTTGTTAAAACGCTACTTAATTATTCAGTAACAATAAACTGTGAGATTTTATGAAAAAGCGCCACCTCTTATTATTTTACTACAATTGTAAATAAAAAATAATTGATAAGCGCCACCTAAGTTCCTTCAAGTTTCGTTTTAGTAGTGTTTTATTTTTTAATTGCTATAAAATACATGCTACTAAATCTTACTTGTATACTAGTGAATGATTGATGCAAAAATGGATAGTAAAGGGGAAAAATCATGTTGGTTTGATACATGGGAAAGTAATAATGAAGGTGACTCATTTTTCAGGTTTAGTTGACGCATATCGTGCACGTTGTTGCCAACTCATCCACACTTTATGGACTTGTCAGAAGTTTGTTCTAATTTATAAGATACTTTTAAATGAGATTTGATATTTTAAAATATAAAATACTTTGATAAAAATAAAATTTCATTAATGATACTTCTTTCATATTACCCTTCTCCTTTCCCATTATATTCTCTCTTTAATATTTTTTTACAAATGAAATATTGAATGAAAGGCATCTGTGAAAGCTTATATTTTTATTTTAAAAAAAACTATAAAGTGTATTTAATGAACTTTATTAATATATATAATTTTATTTAAAATATTTCATGCAAGAAGTCATCAACAATGATGTTGCCAACTTTACAATATCTTCTATCCTATCTCTTAGCTTTAATAAGAGAGCTAGCATTCCATAAAAGGATCACTGATTAAATTGTTGATGAGGAGCGAGAAAATTATTTCAATTAATATATAGGTTTGAAAAGAGTTTAAAATATAATGGTAACTATTATAATGTCTTTCTATCTAAATATAACTGAATCTTGATTAAATTATATTTGTCACTCTAGTTGTCCATTAAAAACTAAAGAATGTCATAAAAAATAATATATTTTATTTCAAAATTTATTCTCCCTTGTACTATGTGTCCTATTAGAAGTTATTTAACTATAAAGAGTTCGGTTTAGAGGAAAGAATTAATCCCTCATAATGTGGTGAATTAAGATATGAATCCATATCATATCCCTACTAGGAGAGGCATCCACATTCAATCCTTAACCACGGTTCGAATAAGATTGCCTTTAATAGGAGAACACTTAAGAGAAATAAAAAAAGTTATTTAAAAAATAAAAATTAATTTTAAAATTACCTATTAAAATCTCATACTTTCCTATTAAAAATATAAATGATTTATTTATTAGGAACAGACAAGAAAATTCAAAACTTCAAATTTTACTAAATTTATTTACAATATTATTTCTAGCTATGTTTGTAGGTTAGTTTTGCATAGAATTCACGTAAATAAATAGGACATTAATAATCTATTTTGAAACAATATATTTGCAACATCTATAATATGTTTGTTCCATATTTGTCATCATAAACATATATCATATACCATCGAGTCTAACAATGATGATATAATATGTTGTATAGGACCTTCATGGAGAATGAACAAACTGAAAATCAATGATATGTCTGAAATCAAGCTTATTTTTTGCATTACAACAACAAAGTCAATTGATAAACGTATTATGCTAATTACATATAACAATTGTTTTTTTGGTCTGTTAGTAAGACTACACAACATTTCAGACAACCACCATCACATTTGCACGCCCAACAAGTGCAAGTTATATCCGTTATATAAATTTATTTTAATATGATTGGCTAAATCCCTAATATTAGTTAAACAAATATGATCATCATGGTATTGTAAAAACAAGTTGATATTTAAAAGATGGATCATCAATTTGAGTTATCAAATAAGAGATCCAAAAAATTAAAGGGCTATCATCATCAAGAGAGACTGTTAGATCCAAGAGGGGCCAAATCCTTTGGCAGGATTGAGATAGTGAAAGTGATCTCAAAATTGAAACTTGAGTGCTGCTACATCCTACGTTATTCCAGGTAACTTTCCTTTAATGTATGTTTTGTCAATAGTGACCAGCAAGTAGTGTGATTGGCAAATCTTGTTAGCAGGCATTTAATCAGTGTTACTTTGTGATATGCATTCATCATCTTCTTCAACTTTCATTATTGTGGAGCCCTCATGGTTATGAACATGATTAACCCCTTGTCTTCTCAATGGCCACAACTCTCTCCTTTTTCTTCCACGTCTCCTCTTCTTTACCTCCATCTCATAGCCATAATGACTATTGTAATGGCCAACAGAAGTATGGTGTTGGTTGAAATCCCCAAACTCAATTGGACCATCTAACTAATGAACTTTTTTAACAAATGAAAGTAAAGATGCTAACATTTATGCCTCCATTTTTAACTCAACCCCCTCACTATTATTCTCCAATCATACTTTCCTAACCAAAAATCTAATGCCAGTGATAATACTATCATCCTCACATACGAAGACCTTCATTATCACTTTGTGGAATTCCAAATGGTGAAGATCCAAATAATTGAGGACACATACTGACCCTGCATTTTTCCATTGATTGTGCCTCCCATGTTTATTTGCTTTGGCCTACTCCATCCTAGTCATAATTTAACAAGCTTGACCAAGACAGTTGAAGAATGGATTTGATCCAAATTTACACAGCCTTCAACATCTAAAACTTCAATATTTGAAGCCAGAGATAGATTTGAGAGTATCTTGAGACATCTCGAGTGCTTTGCATCGATCAGCTATAAATTTGGAAAAATGCTGAAAAAAATGTTAAATAAATTAAATAATTTGATCATGAATTCCTTTCATGACAATTTGAAATATAAGATAACTATATATGAATTTAGATAACTAATTATACTGTTTAACCATCTACGTAAAGATAGTAAAACAAAGATGTGCATTATAAAATTCTTTGGTCAATTTTTAAGGCTTGACATATACATCTAAAATTAAAAGTTTGTTAGAATGACATAAAAAGCTTACTTGTAAATAAAGGAAAAATGATGCATACATGATCTCCATTCCAAAATTGCTGGATATGACTATTAGCTTGGCATTTCAAATAACTGAAAAGTTTCATCATGAAGTCAATTCTCTCGTCACAAAAAAAAATGAGATTTTTGTAAGGGAAATTGTTAGAAAAAGTCCTGTAAACTTGAAATTATTTAAAGATGATGAAGCAAACATTCATGCAATTTGAATTTGTTGAATATTTGATGCATGAGATATCTAAAAGTTTGATGAAGTTTTCAAAATCACAAAAAACAATACTATTAATTTATAGAAAAAAATAATTGATAATATATACTTGATCTCCATCCCAAACTTGTTCGAGATGACTACCAAGCATTTGAAGTTGTACAAGATTGTCAGCACATAATTTTAATGGCACCTATGATAGAGGACATTCTTGCCTACTTAAAAACCTTAGTTCCTTCGAAAGATAATCTATGTTTTCACCAATATTCACCTTTAAAGGCTTCTTTGAAAAATAACAAATATCCTCATCCCTCCATAGTCAAGCCGGTATTTTATCTAGAAATTTTTCTTTGGAAATTTCAAGACCCATTATCACGATTTAATTGTGCATCTCAATACAACCACATCTATCAATTGAAATGAGGGATCTATCTTCAAGAACACTAACCAAAAGCTATGCAAAGATCCATATAAGCATTTGATACAATCAATAAAAATCCTCCTTCTCTCATTCAACATAAATGTGAGGTCAAGAAACAGTTCATTTTGGTTGTGGTTTAGTCCATCAAAACTCAATTTCAATAGATTGAAAATCTGAATGTCAAGATTTGGACTTAGCATTTAAAAAGCTGCTTCCAACACTTTTCTTCCACAACCAAAAAATAACAACCCAAGCTTTTTTAGAGTTAAGGGATTTCCTTGACAAAAATCCACTACACATTTTTAGACTTAAGCACATGCTTGTCTTTTGATGTGATTCCTCCCCTAATCGATTACTTACTTTGATCAAATTATCAATTTTGAATTAGTTGTCCGCAATGTCAAGTATATTAGAATAAAGTTCTTATGATACTTGATGATGTGGACAACTAGTTCAAAATTAATAATTTGATCAAAGTAAGTAATCGATTAAGGAAAGGTAGTAGAATTATAATCACATCAAGAGACAAGCATGTGCTTAAGTCTCCTAGTGCTAACATATATCAAGTTCCAAAATTAAATTCCCAATATACTCTTAAACTATTTGCTTTAAAAGCGTTTGGGCAAAATGAGCCATCAAAAAGCTATTTAGAGTTATCAAAACGTGTAGTGGATTTCTATCAAGAAAATCCCTTAGCTCTAAAAAGCTTGGCTTACTATTCTTTTGGTTGTGGAAGAGAAGAGTGGGAAGCTACTTTTGAAATGTTAAGTCAAAATCTTGACATTCAATTTTCAATTCGTTGAAATTGAGTTTTGATGGAGTAAACCACAACCAAAGGAACTATTTCTTGACCTCACATTTTTGTTGAATGAGGGAAGGAGGATTTCTCTTGATTATATCAGATGCTTATGTGGCTCTTCTGCATGGCTTTTGGTTGGTGTTCTTGAAGATAGATCCCTTATTTCAGTTGATAGATGTGGTTTGTATTGAGATGCACAATTTCCTCATGACAATGGGTCTTGAAATTTCTAAAAAAGCAATTTCTATAGATAGAATACCAACTTGACTATGGAGGAATGAGGATATTTGTTATTTTTGTTATCATCACAAGGTAATAATTTATTCTATTATCTTTAGTTTATCTTTTAGATTTTTTTTATTTCCTTGACATGTTTCCACATTTTCCTTAAGTTATGTACATATTCATTTAATTTAAATATTTGGTGAGTCTTAATATTATTACCTTGAATCTTGAAGTTAGTCAATTTTGTATGCCTTGAATTTTTTTAATTAGATTATATAAACAAAACAAATTAAATGAGAATTCATTTAGATTTTTCCAAAAGTAACATTTAATTAGTTGTTCTAATAATTATTTGATTACTTTTTACATATTAATCATTTCCCTACATGATTTGCTCACTAGGGTCTTAAGGCAATTCAATACTTATCATCAGACATGAATATATAAAAATGATTGTATTTTCATGTCTTCTATTTTTTGTTATGTTATAATTTTTTTTAATTAAATTTACTTCTTAAAAAAAACCATTTTTTGGATTTAAATAACTAATGCCACATTGTGTGATTTAGGAATTCATTTGTTATCAATAAAAGATGAATTGATGAAATAATATTTAAATAAATGATACAATGGCATTATTGATTTGGATGTAATTTAAAAGGCAAGTATTTGATATTTTTTTGTGGTTTTATTCATTTTTTATGCAATAGTTGTGTGTTTTTTCCATGTTGATTTTTTTTAGGAGAATGAGAGCATTTGATGCATGTCATTGGACAAGAACAAGGTAGAAGAGAGGATAATCAGGGCTATTTTTTGTGATTTTGAGAACCTCATCAAACTTTTAGATCTCACACATCAAATATTCAACAAATTCAAATTGTATGAACACTTGCTTTATCATCTTCAAATAATTTTAAGATTACAAGAATTTTTCTAACTGATTTCCCTTACAAAATCTCATCTCATTTTTCTTTGTGATGAGAGAATTAACTTCATGATTAAATAATTTAATTATTTGAAATGTCTCGCTAATAGTCATATCTGACAATTTTGGAATGGAGATCATGTATCATTTTTCCTATGTTTACAGATAAGCTTTTTGTGTGATTCTAACAACCTCTTTAATTTTAAGTATATATATCAAGCCTCCAAAGAATTTAATAATGCACATCTTTGCTTCATTGCCTTTACATTGATACCTAAACAATATAATTGGTTATCCAAATATATCTATAGTGATCTCATATTTTTAAACTGTCATAGGAGGAATTCAAGATTAAATTTAGTTATCTAATTTATTTAACATTTTTTCAGCGTTTTTCAAATTTAAAACTAATCAATGTAAAGCACTCAAGATGTCTCAATACACTCTCAAATCTGTCTCAGGCCCCAAATATTGAACTTTTAGATTTTGAAGGCTGTGTAAATTTGGATCAAATCCATTCTTCAATTGTCTTGGTCAAGCTTGTTTAGTTGCGACTATGATGGAGTGGGCCAAAGCAGATAAACATGGGAGGCACAATCAATGGGAAAAGTGCAGGGTTAGTGTGTGTCCTCAATTATTTGGATCTTCACCATTTGAAATTTCATAAAGTGACAATGAAGGTCTACATATGTGAGGACGATAGTATTATTACTAGCTTTAGATTTCAAGTTAAGAGAGTGCGATTGGAGAAGAATAGTGAGGGCGTTGAGTTAAAAATGGAGAGACAAATGTTAGTGTCTTTACTTACATTTGTTGAAAAGATTCATTGTCAGATGGTCCGATTGAGTTTGGGAATTTCAACCAACACCATATTTCTGTTGGCCATTATAATAGTCATTATATCCATGAGGTGGAGGTGAAAAAATGGAGACATAGAAGAGAAAGGAGAGAGTTGTGGCCATTGAGAAGGTAAGTGGTTAATCATGTTCATAAGCATGAGAGCTCCACATTAATGGAAGTTGAAGAATATGATAAGTGCATGCCACAAAGTAACATGATTATATGCTATTGAGATACAAGGAATATAGTATTTTGGGGCGAACAAGGAGAATAAAATTAAAATAGTGAAATATTTTTAAAACTCAAATCACAAATTTTAAAAAAAAAAGAAAATAAAAACAAAAGGATTTACAAGCCAAAGATTTATGCAGGTTGGATTGAAAGGACAAACAAAGAAGAACGGCACAGATTATTAGGACAAGCACGAATAATATGTGCATCCAAAAGAGCACTATTTGGATTGCCTGATTAAATCCGGAGAGTCCAAGTTCAAAGGTTTTATTTTTTATTTTATTATAAAATTATTAAAAATTAAAAAAATCAATAAATTTGTTTAATCAATCTAGGCAGTACAAATTTAATGTTAATAATGTGAATTTCAATAAAAAAAATTTAATCAATTTGCTTGATTAGCAATCTAGGCAGCCAATATTTAATGTAGATGATTTAAATTTAATTTAATTTTTTTTATAATTCTTATGAATTGACATTCCAGACATGCTTTGGAAAATGCATATTTAAAACTTTTAAATTGTAATTTTTTTAAAACATATTTTTTAAAACATACGTGTTAAAAATCTATCATGTGTTGAGTATATCTAGATAGTTAACTTATAAAAATATGCACCGTCCATGAGTAAAGGAAAAAACTACTATTTACATATGCAGTGTAAATAAATTCAAACAAGTTCAATGATACAACTCACACCACATGCAGCATGTGTAATAAGTGCATTGTTAAAAATCAACCACTTTTGTTTGATTTTCATTCTTAATTCTTTCCCCAATTAAACCTACGGACTCTGCTTGACTTGCTTCATTTGCAATCGGCTGGGGACGGGATTTTTAAGACCGCGAGAATCAGAAGAGAGTTAAGCGTAACTTAAGATTTTTAAAACCCAATTACAAGAAATATCAAAAAACTAAGAAAATAAAAACAAAAGGATCGAAAGGAAAAAAGAACAATGGCACAGATTATTAGGTCGAAAACAAATATATATGCATATATATATCCAAAACAGAGCACTATTAACCATAAAAACAGAAAAAAAATTCTAGAAAAGGAGAAATAGTGATATGAAATATGAACCTTTTTTAGCCTGGAGAAGATTTCAACTGGTATGTGCGGTGAATCGAAGGTAGCATCTGGAATTACAAAACATAAACAGCTCAAAGATGGGAACTAAAAAAGTTGAAACTGCTCAAAGTGTATAAAAATCAGAGAAGCTTGTGATACCTGATGATGGAGATTGAAGTATAGTGGAGATTACCAGGAATCGAAGAAGATGATATTTGATCATAGAGGGGTAAAACGAAGAGGACAAATTTAATCACTTCCTGGATCAGCAACTTTAGAATGATATGTTAGAATGGGCCGTTGGATGCTGGGCATTATCAGGTATACATCAAATCTATAAGCAGTCACGGATCCATAAAAATTTATTAGTGGGGGCAAAATTTATACTAAATATAAATACTAATTATTTTGAAGAAAATATAATTCTAAATATTAATAAAAATAATATATAAATAAAATGTATAATAATAACTACATATTATACACAGATATATATATATATATATATATGTAATTAATAACTACATAAATATTTTATCCAACTCAACTGACGACCATTTTTTCCATTCCATTCAATTCTGATTCTGACCATCACAAACCCCGATTTCCAGATAACAAAAGGCCTTACATTTGGCTCACAGAACAAAGAATACAATGTTTTGGGGAAAACCAAGCGTATTCACATGCCTGAAAAAGAAAATGTCATGGCTCTATATCTGGCTCCAATTTTGTTGTTATTTTGGCAAAAGCAAGTTTATTCACATTGTTTTGGGTAATGTCGTGAAAGTTTATTTGGTTCGTTTCTTGTTATTAAATCTTAAGTGAGGTCATTTATATATACTAGTTGAGGTCAGACCTTTTTTGCTGATATAATTATAAATTGGTGGATATTAATCTTCATTTTTAAAATCCAATCAGGTTATTCATCATATATATCAGTAGAGATGACATGAGATGTTTATCTTGATGAGCCAAAACCTCAACTTGCTACTACCTCCAGCCATGACAGTATCACAAGCATCAAATATACCCACGAATAAAGTTGAAAGAGTCAGAGATAAAATCATGTGTGGCATTTCATGTTCTGAATAAACTATAAATTTATATATAATACAAAAGCCTCTATTTACATGTACCCTGTAAAAAAAATCAAACAAGTTCAATAATGCAACTCATATCACATGCAGCATGTGTTAATACATCACCCCCCCCCCCAAAAAATAAATAAATAAACCCACAGACTCTGCTAGACTGCTTCCTTTACAATCGGCTGGGGAAGAGCGTGAGAATGAAAGAAGATTTGAGGGTTACTTAAGATTTTTAAATAATAAAATTAAAATAGTGAAATATTTTTAAAACTCAAAGCACAAGAAATATTAAAAAAACTAAGAAAATAAAAACATAAGGTTTACAAGCTAAAAATTTATAGAGATCCAAGACCGAACACTATTGGAAGGAAAAACGAAGAACAATGGCACAGATTATTAGGACAAAAACCAATAATATATATAGAAATCCAAAACATAGCACTACTTGCTACAAAAACAGGAAAAAAAAATACTGGAGGAAGGAAAAATGGTGATATGAAATATGAATTCTTTTTAGCCTGGAGAAGATTCCAAATGATATGTGCTTGACAATTGAAAGTAGCATCTGGAATTACAAAACATCAACAGCTCAAAGATGGGAATTAAAAAAGTTGAAACTGCTCAAAGAGTATAAAAAATCAGAGAAGCTAGTGATACCCCGATGGAGCGACAACGGCGACGGAATATGTGGCAAGCTGCGATGGTGACGGACGGTAGGCTGGGGTCAGACGACGACGGACGGTCAGGCTGCCGAATCGGTGTCGGACTCACGCTGCAGAACCAGATCTCGTGGAAGCCGAAGCAGCGGACTCAGTAGCTGAAGCGGCGGCGGCGGCGGCGAGCTCCGACTTCGAAGACTGATAGTGTTGCGTTGACAGACGAAGACGACGGTGGTGGTCGTCGCTCTTAACAAGCGATGAGAGGCAGAAGAGGGAGGTAGATCTGAGATAATTTTTTCTGTGGAAGGTAGATCTGAGATTTTGAGGCACGGGATAGGGAGGATTGTCGCCTTCGAAACAGATAGTTGGGTAGGATCTTTGGCTTATTTAAATAAAATAACAAAATAATCATAGTAATAATTAATTTACAAGTCTTTCAGTTTCCACAATATTAATTTTAAATTATATCTTTACAGTTAATTTTATTTTAATTAAGTTCTTATAATTTGATTGCCGGTTAAAATTTTTAAGTATTTTTAAAAAATAAAATTTAAAACCGTTTATTTTTATTAAAATATTATATAATTTTAGAATTAATTGTCTAATTTTTATTACTGAAAATTTATATAATTAAATTATCTTTTCCAAATAAATTTATTTATACAAAATTTTCAAAACAATTAATAAAAATTGAAAAATTGTATTAAGTCAATTTTTTTACTACTTTAGCTAACAGAATTAAATCAATTTTTATATAAATTTTACATGTGTTTTTGTTTAAAAAAGTTAATCATTTTTTAATAATTTTAATTTTTAGAAACTAATATATTTAATCAATCAAATTATAAGAGTTTGATTAAAATATGATAAATTACAGGAATTTAAATCAAAATAAAAAAAACTAAAAAGACCTGCAAATTAATTTTTCCAAAATAATAACATATTGACCTTCCCATAGGCTGGGGTTCTTAAATTATATTTTCATCTCTGAACCTAGAACCGATAATTTGTGTCAGCCCAAACAGGCTTAAACAATTTTAGGATTGGATGTGAGAGTTTATAATTTTTTTTTTTTTACTTTGAGCTTATTTTGGCCACTTAAAGAAATCATGGGTATGCCCAAACCTAAATGAACTGGACCCAAATACTGGAATTCTCTTTATATTATTAACAAAATAAACTTAAAGCAAGATGGAAATTAAAAATATTAATTTTTTAATATGAAAAATTAAAACAATCTAAAAAATAAAAATAAAATAAAATAATATTTGACAATTTGAGTATTAAATCTAGTTTGAGTAAGTTTAAAAGCTTGACATATCAAGGTGGAACTTTAATATATGAGTTTTTTATATGTTTAAGTATTTTAAGCCCAACTCAAATTGAACTTGCCCACCCAAGTTACCACTCTGTTTGAACCATTACTTTTTGCTCTCCTATGTTGTTTTTCTTCCTTATATAGGAGTCTGTGTTGTTATTATATTGTACTATATTCACAAGAATATTTAAAGGGCTAGTCCAAGTGTAAAAAAAGTTGTTTGTTTATTTATTTGATGCTTCTGTTTGTTTTTTGTATTTATTAATGTATTGGGATACATGCACGGTGGAGTGTTCTTGTCCGTTTTCGTAGTAACATGGAACTAGAAGGGTGAAAAAGAATCCTTCTTTAATTTCATGTTTAACAGGACTTGAAAGAGATAATATTAATAGACTCATCATAGGTTAAGTAAATTCATTGAAGACATTTTTTTTTGCCTGAAAATTTATTGAAGATTCATTAAAAAGTTCGATTTAAATTGGCCTAACAGAAGAAGTAATTATGCAATTTGCAAATAATTAGTAATTTCTTATTGGAAAATGAAGGAACATCAAACCCCTACGTCAAGCAAACCTTGGCCCATGATAAATTGTCAAACTGTTATTGTAGTTTCATCCCCATTGTCGTAGAATGTTTTGTTTACAAAAACATTATTGTTCTTACCATCTGTTGAGTTACCTCTATATACTATATGAGTGTGTGTGTGTATATATATATATATAGACATTTATATAAAATTCATGACATTGGGCAAAAGAGGATTCTGTTAATCAAACACTCCTTAGCTAAAACAAAAAATAATCAACAAATAGCATTAATTGAAGTTTTGGTATCTTTTTTTGGCCATTCTTTCCAATGCTAATTAAGCAAACCCCCAATAATTAAATGGATTCCGCCTTGCTTATCAATTAGTAAATGATTTTCTTTTTTCATTGCACTTTATATTTTATTCACCCTCAGTGTCTCACCGTGGAGGCATGTAATTCATTGGGACACCAATAGATAGTGCAACATCTCAAATCACATCATGCATCGTAACACAATGATTAGAAAAGCTATCAAGATAGTGAACCATAAAAAGAAAAAAAAAAGCTATCAAGATGTAATTCATTCAGATTTTATCAAACGCAACCTTATCGAATAGAGATTGCGGCAAATTTAACTTTAGTTTATTTTATTGTATTTCTTTCAAATTTATTATTTTTTTCTCAAGCTATTTATATTGACTGTACACTTTTTAAATACTTTTTAATTTAAATAATTAACAGGAATGGTATTTTTGAAAAATGAATGCACTCTCTTTATAAATAACTAATTTAATAATTTTTTAAAATTTATACGAATGAGTTTTCTATCTTTTAGGTTTAAAAACATAGATTAAATGGATGATGTCCAACACTTCCATGTTTAAAACAACTTTTAATCTAAACCAAAACTCAAACCTTAATAAAAACGCCACGTTTTTGGCGACTGGGTTAAGAATACCCTTAAAAGACATGAATTTTTTTATCACCCTAACAAAAAGAAAATGAAGAAGAAGTGTTATTTCCAAAGAGGAAAAAACCAGAGAGAGAGAGAGAGAGAGGAGGCCAGTGCTTGAACATCAACAATCTAACATCATCAATGATCAATCTCTTGAAGTGTTTATGCCTTAGCCTCTGATTTCATTTCAATCTCCATTGCTTTTCCTTTTTATCCTCTTCCTATTGTTTACTATTCTTCTATTTGCGTGTCTTTTTATCAAGAATCTGTCTTCTTGTTATTTTTTCCTTGCATGTGATAGTAACGACTTAATAACTTGTGTCGTGTGCAACAAAGCACAGACTGAATGCTGTGGTTAGAATCTCTAGTTGATCATGTTAATGAAACCAACTGTAAGTTGCATCAAAACCGAAATTGAAGCAAGTAGAGTAGCCTAACGAAGGTGTGTGTTACTATTTACTATGAGTTTCTTATACAGAGAGGATGAGGGGACCAAAAAACAAGAGGTAGGAAATTAAATGATAACGAGAATGACACTCGCCAAACATGCATGTGAGCATCTGAGTACATGGAACGTACGCTAGCCTATGATGAAGCTACAAGATATGATTTTAATATAATAAAAAAAAGAAGAAAATATCATTATTAGAATATTAAAACTTCATTTAGAAATATGAAATGTATGAATTGGGAGTCGAAATGGACTGAGTGCTAAGTGAAAGTTAATTTTATTTTATTAATAATAAAAAAGAATTCAATTATTTAGGTTAAGTCCATTCATGTTTGAGCTTAGTCTAATTTCTTCAAGAGCTCATTCAAGCCATTTGAATAGGCCTGGAGTAAAGAAAAAAAAAAAATTAAACTTTCAAATTCAATCCTAAAATTTTTCAAGTTTAATCTGGTTAGATGGTCCTGCTTAACCTGAATTATTAATTATCATCTTAGTTATTACCCACGTGTTCTCCCTCATTCATGTACACACACGTTTACATTGCTTAGTATTAATATTAACAGGTGTAAAAAAGTGCTCATTCGGGCATCACGTGAAATCAAAGTTCCATATATACAATTTGAAAATTCCCTAGGCACAAAACAAGCTCGGACCACACTATCACCATTATTATATGGGCACTATGCTTTGTCAATTAGTTTAGGTCTTCCTCGTTCAGGAAATAGATTATATTTTCACTTTGGTTGAATACTGGCTTTTCTGAGTGGTGGGACCGGGGGGCTTTTTGAGGAAGGGTCATTCTTAGATTTCCATTCTTGGCCATGGTTGGACCCAAAAAAAAAAAAAAAGACGATGAGATTTGTACTGTTCAAATTTTAATATGAACAATCCAAATTGAAAAATTTATTTTTATTTTTATTTATTAAAATAAAATTATACAATTTTTTAATAAATTTGTTTTATTACTAATTTAGACATAGATTTAATTTGGATGGTCTAGTAAAATATTAAAATTTTTTTATAATTTGTATAAATTGACTGTTTAGATGTACTATATACAGTTTATATTTAATATTAAATTTTTATTTTGATAAACATAATATTCAAATTAAAAGTAATATCCAAAACTATACTTTCAAAAAAAAAAATATTTTGTTTACAAAAGAATGAGAGGTTATTTCACATGCTTTCATTTTTATTCTTTCAATGCTTAGTCTTGCTTTAATGATGATAAAAAAAAGATCTTTTGTAGTGTTAAATTGCATGAAAAAAATTATTTTTGAAGATAAAAATTAAAATTGAATAAAATAAATAAATACTACTCTATTTAACAATTCTGGTATTTTTTTTATTATTTTCATATTCTAGAAGTATAAGGGAGAAAAGAATAATGCCTACTTTGGTAGCAATGAATTGGAGGGAGAGAAGTGGAAGTGGAAGTAAAACTCATAAATTGGTGTGTTTAGTTTACATGAATTGGATTATCAAAAAAAGTGGGTTGCATAAAATATGATGGAACTGGGTTTTGTGGCCAAACCCAAAGAACTAAGTTCCTCCCTCACTTTCTCTCTGCTCATCTTCCACGTGTCCCCCCTTTCTCACCATACTTCTTTTGATCTTATTTATAAATTATTTTCAGTAAATTTTTCATTTTCCCCTTATTAAATGCATCATCTCAACTCTACCTATTGAAAATATTGAAAGAGTAACATTAAAATAAAGTAATTAATAATTCACTTTTTTTATGTAAAGTGACTTTTAAAAATGACCGATTCTTTAATCTCTGACCAAATGCTCCTTATTTGCCAAAGTGATATATGAGAGTCTGTTCTCATTCTTTTCATACTCATCCACAGTTTGTCAAACCTCCAACAATAGAAAAATGCTATTCCCACCCAACCAAAGCTTGCTAGCCATAAAAGTCTGGTATGCATAATTTTTTTCCTTCATTGTTATAATACTGATGAAGAAATAGAAGAATGGTAACATCAGTATATAAAAAAAGGAAAGAGTAAAGTTATATCATGATCATATATAAGTTTGTAGGTAGCTATGGTTTATGGTTTGATTATATCATGATCATATGA